AAAAAAAAAACAGTACTTAAATATATTCTACTTAAAAGTATGAAAACATATTTAAACTATGTTGAAATCAGCATTAGAGATACCATGTGTCATGTACAAAGGCTCCTCACTAAAATTAAAAGCTAACTTCTCATAAGAAACCTTGGAGGACAGTAGACAATGGGAAAGATATTCAAGGTGCTGAAAGAAAAACTAAGCAAGACTTCTATATTCAGCAGAACTATTCACCAAAGCTGAAAGAAAAATTTATACATCCTCTGAGAGGTCATAGCCAGGAGTCATGATGCCTTCTAGAAATATTAAAAGAGAATTCTTCAGGCTGAAATGACATGACAACAGAAAATAACTGGAATCCATACAAAGAAATAGAGAGTACCTGAAACTAGAAAAGGGAATGTTAATGTATTTTTAGGATGCTTCCCTACCCTTCATCAATTTAAAAGAATGTAAAAAGTACTTACAAATCCGTGTTGATGGGCACATGATAAATAAAGATGTTAACTGATAACAGTTATAAAGGAACAGGAAAATGATTAGTTTTTATATATACTTATTGAAATTAAGCTGGTATTCATTCAACTCAGAGTGCTATAAATTAAGATGTTAATGGTAATTATCATAACAAAGAAAATGGCTCAAAAATATATAATGTTGGCACTGATGAGATGAATCAGAGGTTAAGAGCACTAGCTGCTCTTGAGAGGACCTGGGTTCAAGTTCCTAGCACCCACATGACGGCTCACCATGTAACTCTAGTTCCAGGGGATCTAATACCTAACCTCTATAGGTATCTGGCAAGCACATGGTGCGCATACAAACACTTTTTTTTTTTTTTTGGTCTTTTTGAGAGAGGGTCTCCCTGTAGCCCCAGCTGTCCTGGAACTCACTATGTAGACCAGGCTGGCCTTGAACTCACAGAGATCCACCTGCCTCTGTCTACCGAGTGCTGGGATTAAAGGCGTGCACCACCATGCCTAGCACAAACACTTTTATACATAAAAATAAAGTCTTTCAAAAAATAATTAAAACAATACACTAGAAACTATTACAGAAAGGCAGTAAGCAATGCAGGAACTACAGGAGATATAATACAATGATATAGAGAATGAACAGCAAATATTAGCTGTATATCTATCCTCATTAATTACAGTAAACTTAAATGAACTGAATTCTCCATTTGGAGGCCACAATAGGATGCCAGCTCATACCTACTGTTAACAGACTGACAATGCCAGGGCTCTTAACCACTGAGCCATCTCTCCAGCCCCTCAAAACATATTTTCAGAAGGAAAGAAGGGAATAGGACAGGAGGAAGAAAATTCAAATGAAGAATGGACAAGTAAAATGTACACAAAACAATGTGGATGAGTCAATGACACACTGAGCTAAAGAACTCTGAATAGAATGAATATATTTCTATGATTCCACTGAGATAAAGGAGGGAATGACAGGGAAACTGAGCTGCAGTGTTTACAGTGCATGCTTAGCTCATACATCCATAGAGAAAAGCAAGTGAAGCAGTTCCCTAAAGTCAAGACGCCAGTTTCTTATGGCAGGGACGAAGGTGGTAATTGTCTACTCTGGATGCAGCTCTGGTTTATGGGCAGGATGATATATATGAAGATGGATAATCTGTAATTTTTTTGTTTTGTGCACTCTTTTTATGGGTGCTACATATTACAATAAACATCTTTAAAAATTCAAGGAAGATTTAAATTATTATTTAAAAAAATATTTTATTATTTTTGTTTTATGTATATGAGTATATTGCCTGTATGTATTTAAGTGTACCTATGTCATGCAATACTGAGGACATCGGATCCCCTGAAACTGGAGTTACAGATGATTGTTAGCTGCCATGTGGGTGCTGAGAACTGAACCGGGGTCCTCTGCAAGAGCACAGTTAGTGATCTTAACTGCTGAGCCATTTCTCCAGCCCCAGATTTAAATTATTTAAAAAATATGAGACTGTTTTTAAAGTACTTAAAACTATAATTTGATCTGAGTGCCTAATATTAGTAGCTATTCAGCAAAGTTTCCTGAAACACATCAAAGCTTCTGACACACATACACACAAAGGAAAACTGTGATACTATATTCTATTTTAAGGATTCTAAGAGCTACTAGTTCCTGAAACTGAAAAACAAATGACTCTTGCAAGCAGAGAAACAAATCTGTCAGATGAGGCTGAGAAAAAATTTAAAAATTAGGTTATGGTTCAGAAAAGTAGCATCCTTCCACCTTCCTCCCTAACTAACTAACATCAGGTCTCTGACAAGCTCACCCCTTGTGAGGTCAGACAGAAAGTACACACAGTCCTTTCCATGAAGAGTCAGTTCTGAGAGGGCTGAGACACAAATACAACTTCATTTTCTGACAAGACTGTACAGCTGTATCTGAAACTGTCAAGAATCACAAAACAGTCACTTACTTGATCAAGATTTGAAAGGCTGTTAGGATCCTGACTCAGACCTTGATACTGTCCCCGGAGTCTGTCACCAGCAGCTATTTTCCTAAACTTCTTCAGATCCACGACATAGAGGGCACTAAATGGAGAAGAGACACTTGTTATAATCAAACCACAGATTTATGCTGAATAATGGAACAGCTCATTGGTCAAACATAATGTCTCGTTGAAAAGGGCATTATGAAGTCTGCAGCAGAGTCAATCAGGAGCTACTGCACTATCCATACTCTGCTACAACTGCTTATTTTGTTCATGGTTTATTTCTGAGACAAGGTTTTTAGCAAATTCAGAAGATTTTACAATAAAACCGTAACTGATAATAACCATTTTCCAAAAATATCCTGATGTCTTAAATGTTACAGTAGTAAAAGTGCCACAGTATTACAATTCTTTGGAGTGAGGAAAGTCTAAAACTGAAATCACTGTATTTTATCAACTATTTATATATTTTTAAAATATTTTATTTATTTTTATTTTTTATGTGTATGAGTGTATCACTTGCATGTAGGTAGGTGCACCTGTGCTGTGTAATGCTCACAGAGATCAGAAGAGGAGGTCAGATTCTCCTTACAGACAGTTGTTAGTTGCCATGTAGGTGCTGGGAATCGAACTCTTAACTGCTGAGACATCTCTCCAGCCTCTTCATTGTTTATTTTAAATAACTTATTTTTGTTTTGCTTTGTTTTGTTTGAGACAGGGTCTCAAAATGTGTCCCCACCCTCTAAATCTTCCAAATTACACTTTTCCCAGAGTGCCCAATTAGAAATGAATGAACATATATAGTGTTTGTCTTAAGAGGTCTACTTCTAGGAAAAATATACTTGAAATAGACAAAAGAACATATTTAATAGATTATGCATTGCAACACACTATAATATGAAAAATCTACAAATAACACACTGCAACAATATGTAGCTAAACAAAGGAATAAGGTCTTTATATACTGATAAAAATCTATAAGTGGCCGGGCATGGTGGCACACGCCTTTAATCCCAGCACTCGGGAGGCAGAGGCAGAGGCAGGTGGATCTCTGTGAGTTCAAGGCCAGCCTGGTCTACATAGTGAGTTCCAGGACAGCTGGGGCTACAGGGAGACCCTGTCTCAAAAAAGACCAAA